GTGTGCACTCCATTGGGCTTTGTCTACCTTTATACCAATCACACAGTGACTTCAGTACTGTCACTTCATCCTAAATCTTTGATCTCCGGTAGAGTAAGCCTGACAACTTCATTCTTCGATTGTTTTGCTTATTCTTGGTCATTTGCATGCTCCTGTAGAACTTAAAACCAACCAACCAACACCAACGATAACCAAACCACCCCATGGGGATCTGCAAAGGGGTTCCTTTGAATCGATGAATCCATTTGGGGAAGACGGGACACCTTTCCAGTAACGCGGAGTCTTCCAGCCCCTGAAGCCCATAGGTCAGCGGTTCTCAACCGTGGGTCATGACCCGTTTGGAGGTTGAGCGACCCCTTTACAGGGGTTGCCCGATTCTTAACAGTAGCAAAATTTCAGGTATGAAGTAGCAGTGAGAATAATGTTAAGCTGGGGTGGGGGGGGCCCTCACCACAACATAAGGAGCTGTATGAAAGGGTCGCGGCGTGAGGAAGGTTGAGAACCACTGCCTTATATGCTTTCGCTTAGTCAGGCTGCCTGTCATTTCTGTATGGTTTCCTATCTCAAGATCTGATGCATGTCCCTTGTCAAGGCCTTACACGTCTGTCTACCTTTCCTTGTGTTGCTGTAACACAAGCACCATGAGTGGGTTGCTTGGGAAAAAAATATTTTTTTTGCACCGTCTGGAGATGAAAAGTCAAAATCAGGGTCTCGTCCATGTCAGCTCCTTCCTTGTCAATAGCCTGAGTGTTCCTTGGATCTTGACGATCCTCATCCACCTTGCCCACGTACTAGCATCCACCTTGCCCACGTACTAGCATCCACCTTGCCCACGTACTAGCATCCACCTTGCCCACGTACTAGCATCCACCTTGCCCACGTACTAGGTTCTCATGTCTCTGGATCTAATCCGCTCTTTTTTAACACAGGCGTGATGAGGTTTAAGGTTCAACATACGTTGATAGAGCTCCATTAACATAACCAAGAAAATCTTCTTTCCCAACAGAATGGCATCCACAGGTAGATAGGTTGGGACTCCGGCACATTTTCTTTTCTTTTTTTCTCAGTGGGGAGGTGGGGTGCAACATTGAATACATAACATTAGATATGTCCCTAGGGTGCTTTTATCCGTACATTTCATAAATGTATCATTTTGTAATTTGGCTCATTTGTTGCTAATCTATAGAATTTCTGACCTCATATCCAGCAATTTTACCAAATTCCCTTCTTAATTCTCTTTAATGTGTCCATAGACCCTTTCATATGGTCTCTGTACACCCTGCAAGCCGAGTCACCTTTATTTGCTTGTCTTGTCTTATTGCGTAGGACTTTCCATCGAATGGGGGAGGCTTGGTAGACATTCTGTTACTTTCCTGATCTCCGAGGAAGAGCGTGTGACATCTCATCATTAAATTTGATCTTTCCCTAGAGGTTTTTGCTGGGTGGTGGTGCTTTTGTAAATTCCTTTCATCAAATTAGGAAATGCCCTCCTATTTCCAGGCTGCCAACAGTTTGTATAATGAGTATATTTCCAGTTTTACCAAATGTCTTGTCTGTGTCTATGCAGATACCATGTGGTTTTTCTCCTTTATTCTAATAGAGAATTATATTGCTTTTCAATATCATTGAAATCTAGTTTCACTATAATGTATTATCCGTTCTATGTATGGCTGAATCCTATTTGCTAATATTTTGTTTGGACATTGTCTATCATCATAATTGAGGTTAGTGTGCTATGTTATTTTATTGTCATATTCTTAAGGAGCCCTGGTGGTGATGGTGGTGGGTAACTGTTGGATTGCTAGCCACAGGCTGGTGGTTCAAATCCAACAAGTGCTCCTCTGGAGAAAGATGAGGTTATCTGCTCCCAAAAATTTTCCAACTTTGAAAATCCAATAGAGTCAAACTATGAGTCACAGTCCACCCCATGGCAGTGGATTTGGTTTTCTGTAACATTCTTAGCTTAGTATTAAGATTATTTTGGCCTCATAAAATCATTTGAAAACTCTCTTCTCTAGAGAGTCTGGGTAAGGTGGATAGTGGTCGTCCCCCCCCTTAAATGTCAGATAGATTCCACTGGTAAAGTCAAATGGGCCTGGAGACTTCTATATTAAATGAAATATTTTATTTATTTAGCATCTAAGACGATTAGTATGTTCTAGTTCTTCTTTGGTCAGTTTGGCGACATGGTGTTTTTCCAGAAAAGTTTCTGTTGCACTTACATTTTCAAGTGTGTGGTTTTTTTAAATAATCTCATTATCTTTTTCCACAGTCTGTTGGCTCTGTAGTGATGTCACCCATCTTTTTCCTGATTCTAATGATCTGTGTGCCTTTTCTCTGATTTCTGGATCAGCCTCAGCTTGGGGCTCAGTTCCTCGAATACCCAGGAATTGTGGCTACCTCTCTATTGCTCCCTCTTTCTTCCCCTGCTCTCCCTCCCCAGGGCTTTAACTGGACTCTCTTCATACAAACTGTGCTAGCCTCTGTCGGAATCAAGCTGCTGCCAGAAGAAGAAGTGGTCGTCTATGGCATCCCCTACCTCAAGAATCTCGAGAATATCATAGATGCCTACTCAGCCAGGTGAGACCCAGGGAAGGCCCAGGGGCCTCAGCCTCCACGCCTCCAGCTCTCTCTGCTATCTGGAGCAAGCCCCCTCAAGCATTTACCCTAAGCCATGAAAGCCAATAGGAGGTGATTGTTTAATAGCCAGTGGAGCTTTACAGTAGAGATGGGAGACCATTCCTTTGAGGCATCTCAAGCAAGGCAGGGGGTGCGGGGGCAGGCAGATGGGTCAATGTAGGGGGTTGTCTTGGGGATCTCTGACTCCCTGAAACCCCTCCTTGGGGTGACTCTCCTGACCAAAAGCCCCACAACTATTTCCCCTGCCTGGACAAATACGCCTCACCTGTTTGGTCCCTTATTCTCTGTTTCTGTCCCCAGGACCATGCAGAACTATTTGATCTGGCGCCTGGTCCTGGACCGCATCGGCACCCTGAGCCAGCGATTTAAAGACACACGGATGAATTACCGAAAGGTAAGCAAGACTCACAGAGGAGACCCCGGCCCAGAATCTGGCCCATCATTCATTCATTCATTCATTGGGTGATCCTAGCATCTGCTAGAAGCCAAGCACCAAGTCGGATAGCAGGGTTAGAGCCACAAACAAGACAGAAAGAGGACCCCTCCCTATTGGCATAGACCAGGCGTCCTCAAACTACGGTCCGCAGGCAACATGCGGCCCTCCGAGGACATTTATCGGGCCCGCCAGGTGTTTTTGCCCCGTTTGTTTTTTTACTTCAAAATAAGATATGTGCAGTGTGCATAGGAATTTGTTCATAGTTTTTTTAAAACTATAGTCCAGCCCTCCAACGGGTCTGAGGGACAGTGAATTGGCCCCCTGTTTTAGAAGTTTGAGGACCCCTGGCATAGACAGTACACACCCAGCAAGGCAGAGTTTTTTCCCATCAAAAAGTATAATGTGTGGGAGCAGAGGGGACCCCGGAGACCTTTGAGGCTAGTGGGACCCAGCGAAGAACCCTAGGAGAGGTTTCCAAGACTGGAAATAGCCAGCACAGGGCTCCAAGGTCCGGGATGCTGGACCCAAGGGGTGAGAGGAAGTGAGGGGGGGTGAGAGGAAGTGAGGGAGGGAGAGGTGCTATGGGCCAGACTGGGAGGGGCCTGGAGGAGAGCATAGTGCATGTGCAGCAAGACGAAGAGTGGAGACATTGCTTTGTTTCCTGCTCGTGTGGACGGGCAATGGCCTGGGAGAGCCACGCGAGGCAAATGCACCCATTCTGGGGGTGGGGGCTTGGGCCAGGGCGCTGGAGATGGAATGCCCATGGGTTGGATGATGGACAAAGTGGGGGCCCTCAGGTTCTTCACGGAGGTGGGTCAGTCAGAACCCCCACTTCCAGCATGCTGGTTGGGACAGCCCTAGTAGGTGTTGAGTCGGGAACTCTGAGGAGAGAAAGGGGGCACGCTGGCATCCTGGAGACAGGAATCCTCTCAGCCCAGGGCAGTGAGGAGGATGCTGGGCACGGCTCTCAAAGCCTGCTCCAGATTTAGAACATGGAACCTGTTTCTGTCCTGAGCCCTGTGTCCCTGGTATACACACTGACAGGGCTGTGTCCCTCTTTGTCCTGTGTCCCAGAGAGCCAGTAACTGGTGGCTGAGCTAGATGTGGCCCCAGGGCTTGCCTCTGTGCTTGAGGGGCAATGGGCATGGGGTGGGGCCGAGTCTCCACCAGACCCCCAGGTCTTGGGCCTGAGCAAGGCCCCTAGGGTGAAGGCCCAACTCCCGGCCTGGTTCTGCAAGCCTCTGCTCTCCGCCCAGACCCTACTCTGCCCATCCCCAGCATTAAAAGATGATGGGTCTTTGGGTTCACCTGCATCCTGCATTGGCTCTGGGTACCCTGAGGCCAAGGGCCAGGGCTGCCTTCTCACTTGATAACCCCAAGGTCCCACCCAAGACGTGGGGGTGCGGGCAGGTGCTGGTGAGAGTCGGGGATGAGTGAACGAGCAAGCCCTGTGCGCAGGCGCTGTACGGCACAACCTTGGAGGAGGTGCGCTGGCGGGAGTGCGTCAGCTACGTCAACAGCAACATGGAGAACGCCGTGGGCTCCCTCTACGTCAGGGAGGCCTTCCCCAGCGACAGCAAGAGGATGGTGGGTGGCCTTGCTTTCTGGTGTGCTCAGAACCCCCTGCCCACAGCCCCTCATGCAGTACAGCTCCCCACGGGGACCCAGGGACAGGCCGCGTCTCCCTGCTCCCCGCTTATCCACGGAGCACCAGGCTATGCATCCTGCTCTCCCTGCGGGAAGGCCAACTGAGGAGGGAGGAACCAGGGACCTAGCGAGACTTGTGGGAGTCTGAGTGTCCAGGAACCCCAGCACTGTGCCCCCCAGCCTAGGGAAGACTATTGTTGTGAGTTAGGGGTGGTCCTGACCCGGGCCCACCTATGAGGGTCGTAGCAGGTGCAGCAGAGCAGTGAGGACCAGTCCCGGGGGCCATCAGCCTCTGCCTCTCAATGCCAGGCAGCCCAGGCTGGCGGGGCAGGTGGTGCTGGTCACTGCCCCCAGACATGTCGAGAGAATGAGGGCCGTGTGTGCCCCCAGGTGAAAAACCTCATCAACAAGGTGCGGGCTGTGTTTGTGGAGAACCTGGACGAGCTGAGCTGGATGGACGACGGGTCCAAGAGGAAAGCCCAGGATAAGGTGAGGGTGGAGAGTCGGGGCCCAGCCCAAGATGCCAGGCGACCCCAGCCAGAGCCAGAGCCCCCTCCCTGCAGACTGCGAGCACAGGCCGATGTCCTCACACCACTTTCAAGATGAGGAAACTCGGGCTGGGGGAGGTGGGGTGGCATGGGCAGAGGCAGGACGGAAGCCAAGCCTTGGCCAGTGCCCAGGAAGGGGTGATGACCACATGGCCTCAGAAAGTTGGGCTCCCTGTAAAGAGGGCCAAGACCCCCAGGGGGTCCTGGGACAAGGTGATAATTGGCAGTCTGGTACCTCCTCCCTGACCTTCGCCTCTTCCTATCCCCTTGGCCAGGAGGGACACACTCAAGGTCACCTTGGGTCAGGCCTGTCCATACTTCCTCCGGGTTAGCTTCTCCATGTCTTTTGAGGGGTGGTCCAGGCTCTAAGGGGGCACCTTCCCCAAAGCAGCATGTTGAGGGGATAGGGAAGGGCAGGGCACACCCCACTCCGCCTGGCTGAGAGCCTTAGGTGCCCAGGCTGGGCAGGCACAGACGGCCCCTCTCATTCCCAGGCCATGAGCATCCGAGAGCAGATTGGCTACCCTGACTACATCCTGGAGGAGACAGACCAGCAACTAGACCAGGAGTATTCCCACGTGCGCCCCGGGCCAGCCTCCCCACTGGACCTCAGGCCCTCAGCCAGGGGGTGGGAGACCAGGCGCCCACTGAGCCTCCCAGCTTCAAACTCACCCCTGGGTGGGCCAACATCACTGCCCATCCTCAAAGAGGGACACGGAGGCGCAGCGAGACTAAGAGCTTGCTCACACGGGTGGCGCTGCCCCCTGCCCCCTGCCCCCAGGCCTGGGTATGACGGCCCCCCACCCCCCATCTCTCACAGCTCAACTTTTCTGAGGGTCTGTACTTTGAGAACAGCCTGCAGAACCTGAAGCTCAGCTCTCAGAGGAGCCTCAAGAAGCTGAGGGAGAAGGTGGATCCCAACCTGTGAGTAGGGGGCGTGGTGGGCCACTGCGGGGCGGGCGGGGCCGGGGTGTGCAGGAGCTGAGACAGCCCGGAGGGGCAAGCCTGCTGGGGAGACACCAGGGCCACAGTGAGCAGGAGCCAGGTCAACCAGAGACCCTGCTAGGGCTGCCCCATGGCACAGTGCCGGGGACTCGGGCCCTGAAGGTGGCTCTGGTCAGCCAGGGCAGAGAGGGCCCTGAGGAGGGGCCTGGGAGTCCAGGTGTGAGGGACTGACATATTCATCACAGCTGGATCATCGGAGCAGCGGTGGTCAACGCATTCTACTCCCCAAACCGAAACCAGATCGGTATGTGCCCCACTTCTGCCCCCACCCCCTTCCTCCTGGGCCCCTCGGAAGGGGGAACAGCTGAGCCCCTCTCC